TAAGCAAAGGAGCTGAGTTGTTGCCTTCCATGTGAAAAAAGAGCCACTTCTGTTTGGTGTTTTCAAGTTTCTTTGTTTCAGGAAAGAAAAATCAGGTTTGTATTCTGCAAAAAAAACTGTTTTGTTTTTTTTATCACAGCTGATCATCATTTTTTGGTGTTCTTTTCATTAGATAATTATAAATATATATTTCTCTCTCTATATATATTTTTTTTAAAACAAGCAAAGATGCCAGCCTTGATACATCTTTTAAAACTCTCGTGCCTTTGTTTGATTTTCACCGACTCTAATGAAAGACTAATGGAACGCAGGCAATCTGCCACCAGCATGCACACGAACACACATGCTCACAGGCACCTCCTCTCTCTCCCCTCTCCTCCTCCTCCTCCTCCTCCTCCTCCTCCGCGGAGGCTCTCAGATTTTAATTAAGAAAAAAATGAGGAAGAGGTTCCATTTTAGCCAAATTGGTCCCCACAGCAGCAAAGGTAAGGGGAATAAAATGAGGGATGGAGGAGTAAAGGGAGGCAGACACAGAGAAAAAGACACACAGGAGGATAAGACAAAAAAAAGAGGGAAAAGATCTATGCTTCCTTTGACACAGCATAGGACACATCTCAAACAATGAAGACACCCATCTCCCTCCCTCCTTCCTTCTCCTTTCCTTTCCCCTTTTTTTAAAAACTTTAAATCTCCCATCTTGTCTTCTCCACCCCGTCTTTTCGCCCCACTATCATTAGAGAAATGACAGACCAGGTGCCTCAGTCCGCAGCGAGAGGGAGATGTCACAGTGATCTTTTTCATTGCCGAGGAACAAAAGAGAAAGGGACACGGACAGAACTTCTCTCCTCAGCTACATTAAATGGCTTGTGATATATAAAGTCACTTCAAATTTTGTGGTAAATTGCGGCAGACAGCTTCTTGGTTGTCTGTTAAAAGCCTTTTGTACTATGTACTAATGGTGGTACACCGTTAACCTTTGCTGAGATTATCACACCGGTCATTACTGTTATGTACAGGTGATTTCTGCCAGCAGAGAGAAAAGTGTGCAGTGTGTGTCTCGCCACTTTGAAAATGTGCAATTGTGTCTTTTGTCTCAAGCTCAATTTACATCTTCGCTCCTTTCTTGCTGCCTGCCTACATCTTCATCCTCTGCTTTTTTGTCTCTTGTAATTTCCCCCCCCCCTCCACCTCTAAATACCTTCCGCTGCTCCCTTCCTTTTCAATTCTTTTCTTCATTCATCTTTTTGCATGCTGGCCCGTGCCTTGTCAGTAGCCACGAGAAGCATTGTTGTAAAAGGCATAATGTGTCACCTCTTGTCCATGTACCACCAGCTCTGCTCTTAACAACTTATTGAAAAGGTAATGCACGAGGCTTAGGCTAATTATATTAAGTGACAATTTAGCCGCCAAGGTTCCTTTTTGCTTTCCAGTTTTTTTCTCTTCCTCTCTCCTTCTGCTCCCTCCACCCCTCCACCCCATTCTCCTGTAAATGTGCTAGTCTGTGGGTTTTTCGAGTGGCACTCAGTGTTTCAAGTCAAGCTGGTGGCTCAGCTTCTGACCTGGCTGGTTAATGGCTGTTATTTGTGAGAGGGAGGAGTGGACTCTGCAGATATTGCTCACTCTTCCTCCACATTTCTTTCCCCTCTTTTTACCCCCCTACCCCGTCCACCTTGCTTCTGCCGATAGTAAATGGTCATGATGACAGCGGAAACAAAGAAAAAAAACACAGAGAGAGAGAGAGAGAGAGAGAGAGACAGAAGTAAAAATACAGAGATGAAGAAATTTTGAAGGGGGGGGGCTGGAAAGAGGAAGCAAGAGGAAATAGAAAGATGAAAAATCTGTGAAAGCAGGAAAAGGGTGGGAAAAAAGGGGATACTGGAGATCCTCAGGCTCCTTTATTAAAACTATTATTGTGCAGGACTTGAGAATTCCCCCCGGGGCAGGGGTCCATGTCGAAGCCCATATAATTAACTAGAGGCTCAGCTACGGATCAATTACCAGACAAGCAAGTGATAGCTGAATCAATGGAAGATCATCAGGCTCGTTATCAGTGTTGCAACTCATTAGAGGAAAAGTGAGGTAGAGAAAGAGGCAGAGTAAAAAAGAGGGGGTGGGGGGTAGGGGGGGCAAGAAGGGAGAAGGGGGTGCCTGGGTGAGGCAGGAGGAGAGGGCAGAATTGGTGGCAGTGTGTTATCCCAGAAGCTGATGGGTGTGTGTGTGTGTGTGTGTGTGTGTGCTGTACTAGTGTGTGATGGGCTGCTTTTCCTCATTAGCTGCCACCGACTGGTGACAGGTGGGAGTCCTGTACCATGAGCGAAGCCTGCTCTGTAGCAACAGTCACTGAGGCTTGCACGGATCAATACTGGCGTGCACATGAGGCTAAAGCTCTGCCACAGCATTCTTACTCCCCAGGTACTCACAACCTCAGTCTCGGGTACAATTTTGCAATTTGAGCAGTCAGAAGGGAGGTGTCAACAATGAAGAGTCGCAGAACAAAGGAGCAACAACTATAACCAGAAATTCAAAGCAACGCCAGAGTTAATAACCTCTTTTAACAGCAAAGTGACATCTACGTATGAAGACGTTAGTTTGAACTCTTGTAGGGTTGTGCTCAAAAGTGATTTTAAAAAAAAATGCAATCAATTTTTTTAAAGTAGGGCAAAAATGAAAAAAGTACTATTAATATGCGTTGTTTCTATTTTGCATTCACCTAAGTAGAGTTGAAGTATAATGAAATGCGCTATATAAATAAACCTCCATTGCCATCTGAACTTTTAGGATTCAGTCATTTGTGGTGATGTCACATTTGCACACTGCTTTGCATGCGTTGCTTGATTTATGTTTTAATTCTGATTTTCCTCTTTCATTTGATGTTTAGAAATTGGTGCCTTTAGAGATAAATGACTGAATCCTCAAAGTTCAGATGGCAATCGGGAAACAATATAAATCTGTGACCTAAACATCTGCCAGTAACTACCGGGGATTGTGCTGATATCGTTTCAAACAACACAAACGTGTTTTCTCATGATTTGTGTTACTTTTTTCTATATTTATCAATATTATATTACATCACCTCATTAATTCTTTTACTGTTCACTTATTTTTGGCTTGTATTCTATTATTTCCGTTCTGATTATATTTCAGTCTTTATTAAAGAAAAACATATAGAGCACGCCGGGTAAAAGAGTCCAATAAGAGTGCAGAAAGTGAGATTTAAAACATTCTTGGACTCTTTGTACTT